TCCAATAAGCCTCTAATAGGTAGTTTCCTATTTTGCATTGTATTTTCCTCTTTGTAATCGTTTTTAGGCTATAAATAGCGCTTGATCGATTATTTGTAAAAATGTTATTCGAATTTTTTTTCCAGAGAGCTTTGTTCATCTTTCATCGAATTATTGCGTATAATTCAGTTTGTGTCATTGTTTGAGATGCGTTTCTCATTCGTGGTTTCAATTTTAAGTCAATTGGTCGTGGCTTGTTATCACATATCATTTGAAAGAGGCTTTCATGATTTTGATAGAACTCAAGTTAATAGGTCTTAACTTGTTTTCACCGATATTCAATCTATAGGTCTAGATTTTCTATCAAATCTATCAATTTTCTTGTTTTCTTGTCTTTGTTTCTTGTTTCCGCTGCTATAATAACACCCAAAACAAACAACCCTCCAAATTCGTATCAAGAGTACTCCATAAGAGCTACAAATGTTACGAAATAGTAAAAAAAAATGCATTTCCTTCTGCAACTGAAACATGTGAACACTAAAAAACCAAGAAGACCGATTTTGAAAGGAGGCTAACCTCGACACTTGAATGCCGAGGTTAGCCTAAGTAAAATTTTGACGTTTCTACTTTTATTGTACACCCATATAAAAGTCAAAGTAAATTTTTTATTAAACATACGACCCTTTTAAGGCTTATCCTTACCGAATAAAAGAATACCTTAAGAGCCACAAATGCTAGTAAAAAAAGAACACCTCTCCCTTTGCAACTTCTACATGTGAACACTAGAAAACCAAGAAGACCAATTTTGAAAAGTGGCTAACCTCGACACATGAATGCCCCACCGTATCTTCAACTAAACTATAACTATAGTAGAAGCCAAAGGACACACAAAGAACATATGACTCATCGAATCCAAACCCACATCCCACACTAGACATGTACCAAGGGAATATCCAAGCCTCTACTAGCGAGGTTACTAATAGTAGGAAAATTATTCAAGGTCAATATATTCAAGGTCAAGCCCTAAATCATAAGTGTCAGGGAAATCATAACCAACTATAAATCACCCGACCCACCAAAGACTAAACCCATTTATCCTTGGTAGTAGAAAGCATCACCATGGACAACATGTCATGGAACTAAACCCACTTCACTCCTTCAACTCCTCCCCTCGCACAACAAATAACTGAAAGTGTCCAATTGGGTTGTTGCATTTGCAATGAGATTTGCTTATCAAAAGCAAGGGA